ATAGTGACACTGCATAGAATTCTCGAGGCTGTAAATCTTTACAGAAGCAGAAAGCCTCATCTTTCTCCCACAGTGCAGCTGGTAATTTAGAATGCCTGGCCCTGACGTTAATAGCCTGACTCCTAACCACTACGTTAGTAGTAGAAATGTCATGTTACCACCAGAATGCCTTCAGTCTGGGAAACACAGTTCCCCTCTCCCGGCCCCTGCCTTTCAAAACGTCCTTCTCAGTACTTAGGGCAAGTTTCTATTACACCTTTTTCTGTTCTACAATCTATAGCATACTTTTTATATGCTAGAACCTATGCTAAGAATTTTACAAGAATGTATACCAGATGCAAACTCAATGTAACTACACAGTCATCTCAGCTATACCACAAGGAGCACAAAAACTGCCAAGCTGAGCCACAGAGGGGTACAGATTAAAAGAATATTGTTGGTTTAAAACCAAGATTTGGAGTCATGTTACATAGCAACAGAGAACTGAAACACTGTATTTTCACACCATATCACACATCAAGGGCCTATACTTATTTCAGACACACTAGGTCCACTCAGCTCAGAAAACTGTAAGAGAAGATTATGAACAGGACTGATATTGGATAAAAAGCACAACAAAGCTGATTCTAGAATATCATTTTATTCATTCAACAAACAGCTAAGTGCCTACTTTGAGCAAGGCAGCAGCCTGGTGATTAGGGGTGAAGACTTTGGATTCAGATTTGTGTTGAAATCCTGGGTCTCCAAAAGCTAGCTGGGGAATTCAGAAAAGCTGGTTAAACTCTTGTTATGCCCAGAATTCAGGGTCCCCAAAGACCACCCAGGAGCCGTGTACCGATGCAAATACATAAGGGTTGTTTAATCAAGCTCAAGCCAGGTCTCTAACCTTATCCGACATTTCGGAATAGGGAAAGAGCCCCGAATTCATTGTCTGCAGGATTTTTATAGAATTTTCAAACAGCTCAGGTTTCTCAGCTTTACAATCTTTGGATTGGTTAACAATTGGCAAACTATGAGATGTTACAGTTTAATTGGTCAGGACTGGTGGTCTTTGTTCTTAGGCTAGGGTAAAGGAAAACATCTGGCCTCTGGCCTTGAGCTGCCTGGCTATTTATACATATATCATATTCTTGGAGCTAGAGTACGTGTTCAGGCTAATGTACAGAATGGAGATTGACCTTGCCTCTGGAGGGAACTAATAACTGAGGCCTTGTCTATTTAAAATGCTTTCCTGAGCCTGACTAGAGTTTAGTCAAGCAGTTTCTAGGTAGGCAAAATCAGGTAAAATCAGTTTGGTCCTTACACTCTGAACCTCAGTTTCTCCAGATTATGAAATGGAAGTCCATTATAGCTGCTTGCTGAGGTTCCTGGGAGGATTTAGCATGAAAACGTACGGAAAGCACTTCCTCCCCTCCTTCCTTGCCTAGGAACCTCTTATTCATCCATCAGCCATCAGGGCATAAATGTCACTTCTTCCAGGAAGCCTTTCCTTATGACCACCATCATGGACTTCAGCGGTGCCCCTGCTTTACTGAGTCACAGTAGCATATACTTGCCCTCTGTGAATACATATCATCAATTGGAGCTATGTGCTTCTTTATTTGATAATGTCAAGCTCACCACCCACCAGAGGCTCCAGGAGAAGAGGGTCTGATTGGTGTGTCCATGATTACATAACACAGAGCCTGACACTCAAAGGAAGATGGGGGTGGGGAGAGTTTAAAAACACTTGTTGACTGAAAGAACACTTAGCCCACCAGTAGACACATGGTGAACAGTCTACACATGAGAGCTTGGCACTGTGCTCCAAACTTCTGAAGGGATGAGTCCTGCCTTGCAGAAGTTTACATTCTAGTCAGGGAACAGGAAGTGTACAGAAGTAACGCTAGGGCCCTATAAAGGATGGTCAGCAAGGCCTAGACCAGGGAGTTCTGAGAGGTCAGAGATCCCCTCGTGATGAGAACAATCCAGAAAGGCTTCCCAAGGAGCAATGGTACTGGAGAACCTACATTTCAAAGTACTCATCCTAACGAAAGATGGGAGTGTTGGATGTTTCGCTTGAGGGCCTAGAAATCTGGCCAAAGGCATAATCTATTCCTATCTATGATGAGCAAATAACGCTGAGAAACTGAAGAAGAATGTGACATCAGGATTGGAAGAATACTCATTAACAACCTGAGACACGCAAATGCCATAACTTTGTTTGCTTAAGGTGAAGAAGGCTTGAAGCACTTACTGGTGAATATTAAAGACTATAACATAAAGAAAACACAAATCCTCTCAACTGGACCATGATAAATGGAGAAAAGACAGAAGTTAGTTGTCAAGAATTTCATTTTATTAGAATTCACAATGAACACGCATGGAAGCAGCTGCCAAGAATTCAAATGGCATTTAGCACTGGGACAATCTATTGCAAAAAGCTTCTTTAAAATGTTAACAATCAAAGATGTCACCTGGAGGACTAAGACATGTTTTACTCAATCCATGGTGTTTTCACCTCATATGCATGCAAAAGCTGGACAATGAATAAGGAAGATCAAAGATGAATTGACGCCTTTGAATTGTGGTGCTGGAGAAGAATACTGAATATAACATGGACTGCCAGAAGAACAAGAAACTTGTCCTAGAAAAAGCGCAGCTAGAGTGCTCCTTAAAAGTAAGGCTAGTGAAACTTCATCACATATACTTTGGACCTGTTATCAGTCCCTGAAGAAAGACACCATGATTGATACAGAGTCAGCCAAAAGGTGAGAAAGGTCCTCAGTAAAATAAACTGATACAATGGCTGCAACAATGGATTCACATAAAGCAATATAGCAATAACTGTGAGGATGGTAACCGGCAGTGTTTTGTTCCATTGTACAAAAGGTCAATATGCATCTGAACCAGCTTAATGGCATCTAACAACAACAAAAGCCAGGTCAAAGGCAAAATCTATTCCAGGTCTATAGTTCATTCATTCATTCATTCATTCATCATATTTTTACTGAGTACATAGGAGGTTTTAGTCATTATTCTAGATATTGGATACTTATGAACAATGTACACAAGTTCCCACTTTCACAGAGCTGGCATCCAGGGGAAAACAGACTCCATAAAAATGCTATGTCAACCTATGTATCATCTCCTCTAAGGTCAGACCTTATCACATAAAAAAATGGTCTTCTCCCAGCTTCTCTTTCAGTTTCCCTTCTAGCTTGCACCTGTGAAATGCATTGTCCTGTGGCTATTATCCAAGGCAAATTGCAATTCTTGCCTAGATTAAGAATGTGATAGGGAGCCTAAAAGATCTCTGGTACATCACCCTCAACCTATAGATATGGTAACTAGATAGATAGATGTCCCTTGACCAAGATCAGTGAATTAATAGCAAAGTCTACCTCCCAGGGTTATTTGCTTTTGATTTTTCAAAATACTTCAAGTTCTCCCAATGCCATAAGCCATTGTTCTAGCAGGAGCCCTTGGAAAGTTACAGGGATGCTGAATATTGAGGCTACAGTGCACAGCTATTGTTAAATGCCGCTGAGTCTGTTGCGACTCATAACGACCCTTTGTAGGGTTTCCGAGTTGCTGGTGGGTTTGAACCGCTGACTTTGTGGTTAAAAATTCAGTGCCTATCCTACAGTGTCACATCAAGACTACAGGGTGCACAGCTATGGTATTAGAAATCACAACACTCAAAATAATGTTTTAGTGGATTGTGAAATGGGCTGTTAACCCAAAATCAGCAGTTTGACTCTACCAGCTGCTACAAGGCAGAAATGTGAGGCTTTCTGCTCTGGTAAAGATTTACAGTCTCGGAAACCCTATACAGGGTCGCTAAAAGTCGGAATCAGCTCCACGGCATACAACCACCACTAAGTATCAGGGGAGCACGGTGACTCCATAAGCTACATTGAACTGTAAATCACAAGGTCAGCGGTTCGAGGTCACCAGTCGCTCCACAGTTGAAACATGACGCTTTCTGCACCAGCAGAAAAGCCTCGGAAACCCTATGATCACTATGAATCAGAACTGACGTCACAACACAGCAATAACAAAAGCTAAGCATCAGTCACTATATGCACTGTACATGAATTAGCTCACTTGAATATACAACAACCCTATGAGGTGTTAAGGAGCTCTGGTAACATAGTGGTTACCAATCGGGCTGCTAATCCCACGGTCAGCAGTTTGAATCCGCGGGAGAAAGATGAGGCTTTTTGCTCCCGTAAAGATTTACAGCTTCGGAAACCCTGTACAGGGTCGCTATGAGTCAGAACCGACTCCACGGCACATCACAGCAACATGAGTTGATAATATTATTTTCCTCATTTTACAGATTACAAAAAAAAAAGCAGGAAGAGGTTAAGCAGGGGCTCAAAGCCCCACAGATGTTTAATAAAGAGAAAGGGGTGAAGCAGTAGAGTAACAATGCCTAATAAACTAGGATGGAGTCCTGGTGTGCCGCTGTGGGTTAATGAGCTGGACTGCAATGTCGGCTTAAACTGCAAGGTCGGCGGTTCAAGCTCACCAGCCACGCCTTGGGAAACCTATACAGGGTCGCTATGGGTCGGAACAAACCCGACGGCACTTAAAAACAACATCAATAAACTAGGATGATGGCTTCAATCGCCTCCACTACGCTTTAGGGGAGCAAACATTATTAGAAAGACCAGTCACCTGCAATCTCAAAATAACTCAAAAAATTGCGGGTCCTTGGGTCCCACCTAAGTAAAAACCACTCCCTTCAGCTGGTGCTAGGTGTGGACGTGACGCCTAGCAGGAACCCGTTTCCTTTATCCCAGACGAGGAGCTTTCGAGGAAATTCACTTCCACCCTCGCTCCAAGTATCCCTAAAACGAAACCAGAAACTGGACAGAGAACTTCGATAGGGACTTCCGCGTGGACAGAGAAGAAAGGAACTGCGCGCCAAAGAGCAAACAGCAGGGGTGGCGGAGTCAGAGCGCCGAAAACGTGAGTCCCAAGTCCGGGACGGGCCACACTGGGGCCGGTACCTTTCGGAGGAAGCTGGACACCACCTGCTCGAAGGGGTACTTGTACACCTGGTGCACGTCCACAGTGACTCCCATCCCTGCACTCCGCGGGCCCCGCACGCCGGCCACACCTCCGGGAGCGCAGGGCCACGAGAGTTCTGCTCTACAGTCTGCAGGCGTCCACACCCGGACAGTAAAAGGGGCGTGGATTTTTTTTCTTCTCTTTCAAACTTTGGAAACTTTATTGTGCACTTGAGGAAACAGACAGTTGGCCCCGCCCCCGCCCTGTTTCGGCAACGCCCTTGGTCGACTGCCAGGCTGGAGCCGCGCTCCGGGCCTGCTGGACCAATGGCCAGCTTCTGCCAGGAGCAGTCCCAGCCCCTTACCCAGCCCCTCCCCAGCCACGCCTGAAAACTGAACTTTCTCTACCAATGAGACAGGTAACTTTCCCTGGGAGTCTTGGACTTTGGACTTTATATTTAAATGTCATCACCTGCCCTCGAGCCACAGAATAAACCCTAATCTGCTGTTGGCAGCATTAAAACAAATAATTTGTACATAAACTACCCGCCTTCAAAGTTCAAGAGCTGAAATATAACCCTCCCTTCAGTGCTTCTGAATCCTGTGTGACAAAGGCCAGTGACTGTGTTACATACCGACTGGATCAGCTGTCTCTCAGGCTTGAGGTTGGGTCTCAAAGATAGTTAAGACATGAACCATTCCAAGAAGTGACCAGGAAATTAAAAATTCATGCTTTAGTGTATCCACCTCTGTAGGGAAATTTCTTTGCATACTAAAGGAGTCCTGGTATGGCACTGTAGCACTGAACCTGGAGGTCGGTTTGAACCACAAGGTCGGAGGTTCAAACTCACCAGCCGCTCCTTGGAAACCCTCTATGCAGGGTCGCTGTGAGTCAGAACCGACTCCATGGTACTTAACAACAACAACTAAAGGCTAACAATCATGGAGAGGTGGGGAGAAGAATGCAAACAGGATGTGGATATTCTTTAGAGTCCTGGTGTAGCGCTGTGGGTTAAATGGCTTAGACTGCAAGGTCAGCTTAAATGGTAAAGTCGGCGGTTCAAGCTACCAGCCGCTTCTTGGAAACTCTATACAGGGTCGCTATGAGTCAGAACCAACTCTTCTATGGCTAACAATAACTATGTGTATGGAGCCCAGGTAGCGTAGTGGATTAGAGCTAGGCTGTTAACTGCTAGGTCAGTGGTTTGATAGTAGAAAGATGAGGCTTTCCGCTCCGTAAAGCTTAACAGCCTGGGAAACTCTAAACAGGGTCGCTTTGTGTCAGAACCCATTCGGTGGCACACAACCACCACCGCTGTGACAGAAGTGTCGTCACATTTAATAGTGAATAAAACAGAGTCAATACTCTCATGTACGGTGGAGGATAAATAAGATAATGAGTTAAGGACATGATTTTATTTAGGGTGGATAAGAAAGACTTTTAAATTATCATCTCCCACACAAAATCATATCGACCTGGCAGCCCTGTTGTTAGGTGCTCTGGAGTAGCTCAGTGACTCTGTATACAGCAGAAGGAATCAATGCTGGTCCTGCACCATCCTCAACTATAGATGCTAGCTTTGACCACGGTGTCACAGTTACTGCGTCAATCCATCTCGGTGAGGGTCTTCCTCTTTTTTGCATGATGTCCTTCTCCAGGGACTAGATCCTCTTGATGATATGTCCAAAGTACATGCAATGAAGTCTCACCATCAACACTTCTAAGGAGCATTCCAGCTGTTCTTCTTCCAAAACAAATATGTTTGTTCTCTGGCAATTCATAGCATACTTACTATGCTTCCCCAGCACCATAACTCAAATGCATCATTCTTCTATGGTCTTCCTTAGTCACTGTCCAACTTTCACATGCATATGAGGTGATTGAAAATACCATGGCTTAGGTCAGGCACACTTTAGTCCTAATGGTGACATCTTTACTTTTTAACACGTTTAAAGAGGTCTTTTGAGTAGCTTTGCCTAATGCAATATGTCATTTCATCTCTTGACATCTGCTTCCATGCCTTTTAATTGTGGATTCAAGTAAGTTGAAAGCCTTCACCATTTCAACCTTTCCTCCATTTACCATGATGTTGCGTATCGGTCCAGTTGTGGGGAATTTTGTTTCCTTTATGTTGAGCGATGGAGTACTGAAGTGTGTGATCTTCATTAGTAAGTGCTTAAAATCTTCTTCACTTTCAGCAAGCAAGTTTATATCATCTGCATATTGAAGGTGGTTAATGAATCTTCCTTTAATTCTGATGGCACATTCTTCTTCTTATACTTAATCTTCTTATACTTATACTTAAGCTCAGATTACAGATTTATTATGTATGTTGATGCACTCCTTTCCCGATTTTAAACCATTCAGTGTCCCCTTGTTCTGTTCAAACAATTGCCTCTATCTAAGTCTAAGTATAAGTTCCATATGAGCAAAATCAAGTGTTCTCACTAGTCTCTCAGTTTGTTGTACTGTGGTTACTTGCATGTTGCTATGATTCTGGAAGCTATGCCACGAGTATTTTAAATACCAGTAGGGGCATCCATGGTAGGCAGGTTTCAACTGAGCTTCCAAACTAAGAAAGACTAGGAGGAAGGACAGACAGACTACTTCAAAATATTTAATCACTGAAAATTTTATGAATAGCAGTGAAGCACTGTTAGCATCAGAATATTGAATATTGAAACATGATGAAAACCACCAGAATATTGTCAGATATAGTGCCATAAGATGAGTCCCTTAGGTTGGAAGGCACTCAAAATGTGACTGGGGAAGAGCTGCCTCCTCAAAGTAGAGTTGACTGTGATGACATGAATGGAGTAAACCTTCAGACCTTCATATGCTTTGATGGGGCACAACTCAAAATGAAGACAAACAGCTGTAAAAAGCCACTAATGATCAGAATATGGAATGTATGAAGTATGAATCTAGGAAGATTGGAAATAGTCAAAAATTAAATGGAACACATAAACATCAATATCCTAGCTGAAATGGACTGATATTGACCATTTTTAATCTAACAATCCATTGGTTTAGTATGCTGGGAATGGCAAATGGAAGAGGCATGGCACAGCATTCATCATCAAGAAGAACATTTCAAAATCTGTCTTGAAGTACAGTACTGTCTGAGATAGGATATTATCCATATGCCTAAAAGGAAGACCAGTTAATACCACTATTATTCAAATTTATGCACAAAACACTAAAGTCAGTAATGATGAAATTAAAGAATTCTACCAACTTCTTCAGTCTGAAATTGATCAAACATGCAGTCAAGATATACTGATAACTACTGGTGATTGGAATGCAAAGGTTGAAAACAAAATGGAAGGATCAGTAGTTGGAAAACATGACTTTGGTGATAAATAAAAATGCTGCTGGAGATAGAGTGCTAGAATTTTACAAGACCATTGACTTCTTCATTGCAAATACCTTCATTAAACAACATGAAAGATGATTATACACATGGACCTCACCATTTGGAATATACAGAAATCAAATTGACTACATCTGTGGAAAGAGATGTAGAAATGCCAAAACAAGGCCAGGAGTAGACTGTGGAACAGATCATGAATTGCTCATATTTAAGTTCAGGCTGAAGTTGAAGAAAATTAAAACAAATCCAAGGTGCACTGAAGGCATTGGCATAAAACAAGGAACTAGGAATTGATGGAATACACATTGAAATCTTTCAACAAACTGATGCAGCACTGGAAGCACTCACTTATCTATGCCAAGAAATTTGGAAGACAGCTATCTGGCCAATTGACTGGAAGAGATCCAAGAGAGATAATCCAACAAGATGCAGAAATCATCAGATAATATCATTAATGTAGCATCCAAATAAAATTTTACAAAAACAATTGCAACCATACATTGATACCAGATTCAGAAGAGGGCATGAAACAAGGGATATCATTGCTGATGTCAGATGGATCTTGGCTAAAAGCAGAAAATACCAGAAAGATGTTTTATTGACTATTCAGAGACTTTCAAGTGTGTGGATCATGACAAGCTATGAACAGCATTGCAGAAAATGAGTATTCTGGAACACTTAATTATTCTCACAAGGAACCAAGAGGCAGTTGTTTGAACAGAATGAGGAAATGCAGAATGGTTTAAAATTAACAAAGGTGTGCACCAGGGTTGTATTCTTTTACCATACTGATTCAATCTGTATGCTGAGCACATAGTCCAAAAAGCTGGATGAAGAAAACTGTGGCATCAGGATTGGAGGAAGATTCATTAACAACCTGTGGTATGCATATGATACAACCTTGCTTGCTGAAAGCAAAGAGGACTTAAAATACTTACTGATGGAGATCACAGATCACAGCTTTTGGTATGGCTTGCAACTCAATGTAAAGATAACAAAATCCTCAACACTGGACCAATAAACAATATCTATATAAATGAATGCTTGCAGCCATTTCTGTATTACCTTTAGTAAAACTTTACTCGCATGGGATATCAAAGAGATAGTCCAATGATTTCCGCATTCTGCTGGGTAACCTCTCTTTGGAATGGGCACAAATATGGATCTCTTTCAGTCAGTCAGCCAGATAGTTGTCTTCCAATTTTCTTGGCAGAGATGAGTAAGTGCCTCCTGTGCCACCTCACTGTCTTGAAAGATTTCAATTTTTATTCCATCAGTTCCTGGTGCCTTGTTCTTTGCCAATTCCTTCAATGCACCTTGGATTTCTTCTTTCAGTATCATTGGTTTTTGATCATATGCTACCTC